CCGAGGTCGCAGCCGCAGCCCCAGAAGACGCCTCCGCCGAGGCCGGGGTACAAACCGGAACCGGACCTGCAGCCGGGGCCCCGGCAAGAGTTGGGCCCACGTGTAGGGGAAGGACAGCCCCCCAAGGCCTCATCTGGAAGGCCGCCGGCGCCCGTGGGGAGCGTGCCCTCTACCAGACCCGAGTCAGGGTCGCAGCCCGCGTCAAAGCCCCCAGCTCTTCCGCAACCAGGACCGCTGAGGGTGTCTTACGGGGTCCCAATTGCCGGGGCCGGCACCGCCTCCACCGCCCCGAAGGCCTTGGTGCCGCTGGACAACTTCAAGGGCTGGCTCTTCAAGTGGACCAACTACCTGAAGGGCTACCAGCGTCGCTGGTTCGTGCTCAGCAACGGCCTGCTGTCGTACTACAGGTAGGACAGGCCACGGGGCACCTGCGTGCGCAGGGTGGTGATGCCTCGGTCCTGGGGACGGGGGCATCGGGGTTGGAGGGCGCCATTACTGGCCTGGGGATATCTGGGAACATGCACTCTAGCAGGAGCGATGCCTGTAGCTAACCTCCCAGGATTGGGGGCCCTGACCTCTGGCAGGGGAGCCCCCTGTGGACATGACCTCTGGCAAGCCAAGTGGCCCTGTGAGCAGGGGGTGAAGTGAGGGAGTGATCTAGGGCCTCTGGTCTCGGTAGTTGTGGGACAGCTAGTCAGCCCCCGAAGTCCTTGACTCAGGAGCCCGAGTTTCGGCATTTCTAAGAGTTCCCAGGTGACGCTGCTCCTGACCATAGTCTGAGAAGCGCTGCTCCCTTTTCACGGCAAAGAGGAGGGACCTGCTAGCTGTTTGCTCGTTCACTCGGCCAGGCAGTCTTCCTGCAGGTCACCTACCTTAGGACTGACATGGTCTTGCCCAGCCTTTTGGGAACACAGTTTCTAGAGGATGGTTGAGTCTACGGTGCCCCTGAGAATTTGGGAACTCCACTGAACTTAAGTGATGGTTCCCACTCCAAAATTGGGGTCACTCTTTAATTCCTGGCAAAGGAGAAAGCTGACGTGTTCCTAATGTGCCTTCTCATGTGGTATATTCGTGGCCCTCGGCCAGTCGGCTGTACTAATACACCACACAGAACATGGTGTTCCTGGAGTCAGGCAACTGAGCAAAGAGAGATCCTTTTCCCTGTTGGAAAGACCACTCTCCAATTTAAAACACACACACACACACAACTAAGTGAAGCCTGATGTTTGGAGAAAATGTGAGTATATATTTCTTGTGCTCCCTCCCCATCCAGGCAACCAGCCCGCCCCCCTCCAGTATAACCACCTTCCCAAATCCTAGTCACTATCTCCTTTCCTTTTTTATTTAGTTTTATTTCAACCATCTTTAACTTTATTTTTAAACGGGTATTTTACAGCATATGATTTGGGGAACTTATAACAGTCCAGAATGTGAGTGTACCACTTCTTATGGGCGCACTTTCCTCTGGGTGGGTGACTACGAACTTTCTTGGACATGTGCAGGGATTGCTCTTGGGCGAAATCACTGGGATGTAGACAATGAACGTTCGCCTTACCTAATGCCAAACTTTTCCAAAGCACTTGTACCAATTTACACTCCCACCTGCAGTTAATAAGAGGGCTTGTGGGTCTGTATCGTTTGCAAAACTTGATAGTGTCAGCATTGACTGTGCCAGTCAACTGGGTTTACTGTGGCGTCTGACAGTCTTGACCTGCATTTCAATCTGCATTCTTTTTCTCTTAATAGAAAATAATTGGGGGTTTGGATTAGACTTTCTCCATTGTGTGGCTTCCCGGGTACTTCTGCCCTGGATTTTGCTTGAGGAGCACTTTTGATCACTTAAGCTTATTCTGAGGGGAAAAGTACATAATGCCAAACAGCTGGGCTTAGTAACGTCTGTATTATCAGGAAAAAAAAGATGCTTTTTGTAAATATTGTCACATATAGAAAGAATTTCTGGGAAGCATGGATAATCGTTAGCAGGTTTTTACTTCTTCTCAACAATGTGGTAGGAACATAAATAAACTCGGGAGGTGAGGTTCTTACTCCATTGCTTGACATTTTCAATCACGTCTATTTGGATACCAACAAGGAGAAGATGGTTTTGTCCTCAGTTTGCTTTCCTTTATTTTGGTTGGTAGTTCCCATAAAAAATTCATCCCCAGTTCTTACCTCATAGGGAACATGTAATTACATGAAATTAGGGGGGGAAAATAATAAATGTTGTGAAAATTTCAAAAGTATTGGCTTCAGCAAGTCATTATGGAGCGCGTGTGCCAAACATAAACTTTATCCATATTAATGACAACATTGATTCAGTTAGGCAAAATTCTGTTTTGTTGTTTACCAGTTGCCTATTTGTTGATTATTATAAAGGACATTTGTTTACCAGGAAACAATTGCAAACAGAAAAATTTGTTGTCATTAATTTATTGTTCAGACTGATCTATGGGTAGGAATGGCTAAGCCAGATAGCAAGGAAGGCCTCAAAGAAATTAGTGTCTATAAGAAAGTGTCTATTAAGGTCCAAGTGAAAGTAAATTTTGGAAGTCCTCTGGCTAAGGAAGACCACTGGACATCTGGTGGACTGGGCCCTTTTTGGGGTGTTGGCCTGGTAACAGAAGATGGCAGACCAAGACATCTGTGCCTCTAGGACGGATAAGGGGGGTGTGGGGTTCTGTGGGGTTTCCTCTAGTGCAGTGGTTCTCAACCTTGGCTACACATTAGAATCACCTGGGAATCTTTTTAAAATCCTGATTTCTGGGCCTCATCCCTGGGAAATTCTGTTTCTTTGTTACTAATGTTGTGGCCCCACCCCATAACAAAGAAACAGAATTTCCGGAGGATGAGGCCCAGAAATCAGGATTTTAAAAAAAGATTCCCAGGTGATTCTAATGTGCAGCCAAGGTTGAGAACCACTGCTCTAGTGAGACGTGCTCTCAAAGGCAAACTCATGGAGACTGTGTGCCAGGAAGTAGTGTTTTTAGTGCCAGTTTAGATAATCATTGAAGCAAGGCGATGGAAAAGACGACCCAGCTGCAAAGTGTCCCTGAAAACGTGAAGTTAGGAAGTGCCAGTCCAAAGATGAAGCTATTGAGGTCTCTACCCTAGAGAGTGGCCTCATTAGATTGGATCCTGCTTTAATTTGAAATACCTTTCAGTGTTTTACACTGTGAGACTGTTAGGAGGCTGAAAAGGAGCACCCAGGTTGATGACGTAAACATTTGTTTGAAGTGTATTTTCTTAGCTTATAGCACAAAGGTGTTGCAAAGAGGGCACCAGTGGACTAGCAGCATGAGCACAATGCACAGCACTGCTCTTAGCGAGGCCTAGTGACCCCAACTAATTTTTCCCACAAAACCTGCTCCTTCTCCTAACTCCTCTCTTTCTATAAATAGCTGCAAACCTCTGAGTCATGCTTGCTGTCACCTCCCTCCCTCCCTCATCCCACATCAGATGGAATTGCCACACCCTGCCCATCTCTCTCCTCTGGTCTCTCTTCTCCATTCCTCATGCCTCCTCCGTGGTTCAGGTCTGCCCTGTGCTTAACTGGTGTCCCAGCTCCCAGCTTCTGCCCAGGGCAGTGCATCCCCACGTGGGGCCTGGAATTGCCTCGTCTTCTCCAGGATGCTCTTTCAATGGTCCATGCCCCGCCTTAGCCCCTTAGCTTGAGTTCCTCCCCTTGGAAATAGCCACAGTGGCTCCTGACTGATGCAAGGATCATGGGAGTTTACAGGGAGCTTATGTGGCCACCTCTGCAGACAGCTTCGTGTTTAAGGGACACCGTGGCCACGTTCGGCGGCATCTTTGTGTTCCGCATAGAGCCCAGCATGGTGCTCTGCCACTGATGAGCCCTCGGTAGCTTGGTTCATCGGAATGGGCGAGTGGGTGAGTGAAAGAGAGCTACTGGGGTTCTGTGGGGTTTCAGAAAGCCACGCATGTTAGTGCAGCTTTGATTTTTCTTAATTTGTTTTCAATGACCAGAACTTGTTCGCTGGAATAAATGAGGAAGATAAATGGGACGTTGCTGGCTTAAGCCAGGAGAACCTGAAAAGTGACAGCTATGAAACTCCGCTTATCTGGATACTTTGTTGGCAGACTGGAATGTGTCTCCTCTATGAAGCAACAACCTGTATCTGTGGTCCTCCTTTGCCTTTACATAAGATTGCAAGAGTCTGTGCATGTTGACTGTGTAAACCTACAGTGATGCCACTTGGTAAAGTGTGGCAGTGGCTGGAGGAATGCTTTTAAAAGGGCTTCTCACAATCACATAACTCTTTAAACTGGTTTCCTGTGTGCCCGATGGTTTCCTTGCACATGTTAAACGCTCAAGACCCTGTGGGAAGGCCAAAGGTCAGAGGCAAGGCCTTCACCCTGTGTGACAGCCAGTCGGCTAACGGGCCCTCATGCCTGTGGGTTGTCCGCGTGTCAGAGTGATTTCCAGTCTGAAGTCTTGGTGAGGAGCGCGGGCTCTTCCTTATTTCTCTGTTTCGTGGAGGAAGGAATGGGAGCTCATGGCAGGACTCCAACAGCCTCCTGACCCAGCCTGTGCCAAGGTCCACCCACAACACATGTGAGACTCCTCGCTGGGGTCCTGTTAGTCTCTAAGACTAACCCAGGTTCCATGACCACGTGGACTCCAGGACTCGCCCATCAGCTCGTGCTCACAGCTGTGCTTGATGACAGCAAAGCACAACTAGCAAAGGGAAGTGAGGCCCGGGGTGAATTCTGGGAAACCAGGCGTTGGCTTTCAAGGCTCCTTTGCCAGTGTAGTCACACGGGACACACTAATTCTTCCAGCAACAACTTGTGACAACACATGTGAAATGACCATTAGAGACTCAGTGCCCAGGGTTTTCACTGGGGGCTGGTCACGTGGGCGCCCTCTGGCACGCTGCCAAAGTTCAGACTCCCAGAAGGAAAGCAGGTGTTCGGCATGGACCACATTGTACTAGCAGTTTAGGTATCGTCAGCCCCCCTTACCACTTAGGGAACGGGGGTGCTCCCCAAATCCAGACTCCCAGACTCCGGCCACGGGCCAGCCTTGGCCACAGGCCTTCCAGAGGATGCGCAATCCCAGGCCTGCTACGTGAATGCTTTTCTGCACAGTCTGACCTGCTTCCCCCTTGCAGATTTCAGTGATGTCAGGGCGAAGGGCTGACCTTCACTGTGGTTCGGGGAGAGTGAGTGCTTACACCTGGCTTGCAGCGTGGCTTCTGGTTTCCTGTCAGAGGAAGCACATGCCAACCTTGCGGGGTGTCTAACGCTACAGGGCCTGCTGCTTGCGTGCTGAGGGCCTTCTCTGCGGGCACGTATTTGGCCCTTTATTGCTTCAGAGATACTTTTCGGATCTATACCTTCCCCCAGGTTTTCGGTGGCTCGGCTTTTGCGTATGACGGGTGCACTTGCCACCTGGACCTGCTCCGTCTGCAAGTACTCTTGTGACTGGCATGGAATGCCTGGGGTTGTTCTCCAGGTCCTCCTGACCCTTGCACCTTCTTTACTGGTCGGGAGGGTCTGTTAACCCAAGGTGGAGGCCTGATGAGCAGCCTGGAACATGGTGAGAATACGCCAGCTTTGGTCGAGTCCTTTATTGAGGACCAACAGTGTACAAGGCAGTGTGGGAGACAGACATGCACACCATCACCAAACCACTGCCTGGAGGAGGAGGAGGAAAGTCTGCATCTATCCTGGCCATTTAGTAAGAGGCCAGCAGGTTCAGGCTGTGTGCTGTGGGGGAGTTCCCAGGCTGGGGATTCAAGCCTCCGTTAGTCTTCAGGGATGTCGCTGGCAAACGAGGTCAATAGAGAAAGACAGGCCGGTGAAAAGGGTGTGAGGTTCCTTAAACCAAGATCAGTATCTGTTAGTTCCAGGGGAAATGGAGGAAATGGGCCTGTTTCCTGGACAACTACAGGTTCTGACATGTGGGGAGGAGGAGATGGTAGAAAACACTCTGAACAAAATGGAAATTGGCAGCTTGCTGGGTGGTGAATCACACACTAGCAGCAGGTGTCGCCACACAGGGATGTGGCCTTAATCGTACCCACGAAGCCGACTGCCCGTGAGTTTTGGGGTCATGCGGGGTGCTGTATGCTTTCCTCTTTCAAGTC